TTTAATTTTTAAAATTTAAATTAAATTAATTAACATATAATGTATTATTGGTTTCAGAGGTACACGTCTGTGATTCATCAGTCTTATATATACCCAGTGCTCATTACATCACATGTCCTCCTTAATGTCCATCACCCACATACCCCCTCCGCCACCCGCCTCCCCTCCAGCAACCCTCAGTTTGTTTCCTATAGTTAAGAGTCTCTTATGGTTTGTCTTTCTCTCTCTGGTTTCGTCTTGTTTTATTTTTTCCTCTTTTCCCCTATGATCCTCTGTTTTGTTTCTTAAATTCCACATATCAGTGAGATCACAGATTTCATTTTTCTTAATAAACAAACTGGGAGAATTGATTTGGCACATGTGAGGAAATGACCTACAGTTACAGGCAGGGATTTATCGTTAACAAAAGGGATGTCCCCACACAAGAGAGGGTTGCTGACAAAGTGTTTGGTCCTGTGTTATTCAGCATATCATGGAGGAACTTTAACTTCCACTTTGGAACTTTTTTTAGAATTTCCCCAGCTTTCAGTTTCAGCAGTGGAGCAAAATTCAAGAAGGTGATAGATTTCATTGTCCTCATTTACATTGAGGCAAAATTTGCTTAGACTTAGTATACTGGTCTCAAGTCACACCACAAGTGGGTGACCAAGTAGGTTGTCATATTAATGAGTCTTGAGGCACTAACCACTTCGTTTTCAAATACTTTTGCTCAAAGGAGTTGGGGGGCGGGTGTCAAATTTAACACCAGAACCCCAGGAATGAGACGTTTTCAATGTTTTCCATACAGAAGAGGCTAACCCTTTAAGTGTTTTTTTTTTTTAATTTAAATTGTATTTTAAAGTTTTTATTTTAGAAGTTTTAGATTTATTGAAAAACTGAAGATATTAGAGTTCTCATATATTCCACACCCAGTTTCCCTCATTATTAATAATTTGCACTCTCTTTGATGGCTAGAGGTCTTTAATGCCCAGCGGATGTTGTATGGTGCTGTTAACAGAAGAACAGGTCGTGTTGAGGCAGGATCCAGGGTGAAATGAATACTCACTCCCTCAGTGACCCCGGAACTTGTCATTTGAAATTGTTGGTTTGCTTTGCTTTGGGTCACTGTCTCCTCATAAAAGTGGTATACATCGCTCACAGCCACATGTCAGGGCATTCTAAAGTTGCTGCTTTCCTGCTAAGTCAGTCATTGTTCCAAGATCTGAGCTGCTTTCTTAAGAGTACTTACTATGCTCTTGGAAATACTCTTCTCTCTTCCTTATTTCTTTACCATCTATTGAAAACATCCCCGGGGCGCCTGGGTGGCTCAGTCGTTAAGCGTCTGCCTTCAGCTCAGGTCATGATCCCAGGGTCCTGGGATCGAGCCCCACATCGGGCTCCCTGCTCCGCGGGAAGCCTGCTTCTCCCTCTCCCACTCCCCCTGCTTGTGTTCCCTCTCTCGCTGTGTCTCTCTCTGTCAAATAAATAAAATCTTAAAAAAAGAAAAAAAAAAGGGATAAGTAAACAGGGAATTACTAGGTGAGAAAATTAGAGTTACTGTATTTGCAAGTGGGTTTACTTGTATTTTCTTCACCCATTTTCTGATGTTTTAGTAGAGATAACATGTATAAACAGGATGTAAACGTCTCTTGAAAACTAAAATCTAGTTAGCCAGTAGAAGATACTGTTCTTGAAGGATGTGGGCAGATCCTAGAATGAAGAGCCAACTGTCCCCATATCCCCTGAGGTCTATGGGGCAGTGTGCGGGGGTGAGAGGGTTGTTGGGGGTGGGGGGTGAGGGGTGGGGTGTGGAGAAGGTCAATGGTAAGAGTTCTGTTAGCTTTGGTAATACAGGCTCATTCTTTAAAGGGAATGGGAAAGTAGCTAGTTTTAGCCTTGTGGCTCTCACGTGGGGCTCTGGAGGTTAGAAGAAGCTGTACTGTGGTAAGAGTAGGCTTATAGTCCACATGTTCCGTTCAAAAGCTGAAGCAGAGTTATGTAGAGGAAATTCATTCAGCAAATATTTATTGCATGCCTACTGTTTCTAGGCACTGTTCCAGGTGTCAGGTGTATATTCAGCAATCAAAACAGACATAAGCTACTTACCCATGGAGTTTATGGAATATGGGGGAGGGCAGGCAATATGCTTGATAAGGAAATTCACAATATGATAAGTGCATTGGGAAAGCAGTAGAGGGGGTAGAGGGGGTTGGGTTTACAATTTTATTTTTTTATTTTATTTTTTAAAGATTTTATTTGTTTATTTTTACGAGAGAGAGAGAGAGAGAGCAAGCACGAGTCGAGGGGAGGGGCAGAGGGAGAAGCAGACTCCCCGCTGAGCAGGGAGCCCGATGCAAGACTCGATCCCAGGACCCTGGGATCATGACCTGAGCTGAAGGCAGATGCTT